ACCACAATCTCCTTTGTCTCAGACTATGCCACCATCCCCCCTGACACAGCAACCATCTCAACCACCTCAATCGCAACCGCCTCGATTAACGCAACAGAAACAAATACATCCACTTAGTAGTCAACATGTGATGAATCCTTCTATAATGGATATTGATTCTTTACCAGGCACTTCACCTAAAATTATTCCAAGACCAGTTTCCGATGTGATGTCAGCAACATCAGTGGGCATTGGTGGCCTACCACCCCGACAGATTACACCTATCGCACCTGCAAATCAAAATAACCTTCTTTCTAGCATTGTTATAAATAAGATGCAATCTATTTCAGGAATTAGAAACCCAAATCTACCCGAGACCCCAGCATCTCTGTCACTGCTTGAGCTTGACGATGGCGATAGACAACTTTTGTCGAAACGTAAAATCCAACAATTGGTGGATCAGATTGATCCAAAAGAGAGATTGGAACCGGAGGTAGAGGACGTATGTATTCAAATTCACGGAACTCAAAATTGTTCCTCGGAACGTCTACAATGCACACTGGTTTCTGGCGCGTTTTATTACGGTGCACCTTTTATCGTAACGGCGTTTAATACTAAGTACATTTTATTTTTCCAAAGATACTACTAGAAATAGCGGATGAATTTATATCATCGGTTAGTTCGTTCGCGTGTCTTTTGGCCAAACATCGGAAATCAGATACTCTGGAGGTTAAGGACCTTCAACTTCATTTAGGTGATGAATTTATCTTATATCTTACTTTTTCATTTTAAATTAAATCTGTCTGCTGATTTTTGTATATTTGTTTAGAGCGAAACTGGAATATCCGCATTCCTGGGTTTGCCTCTGATGAGATTCGCTCTGTAAGAAAGACGATTCCAAATGCACATCAACAAAAACTTTTGGCGGTTAACACAGCAAAAGCCAATAAAGCACAAATTGCAACCATGGCACCGACAGTAACTTCTGCTCCACACCTATAAAAATTACATTACCATGTTTTGTTAGTATTAAATATAAAAGAATTATTAGCCTTGTAATAAAAAACTTGTTATATATTAATCGTTATGAATTTTTACGCGATGTAGAGAGTCAATACAAAAATAAAATCTCTCATTTACTGTGTATTATTTAAGTGTATATTTTTGGAAGGAACTGGATTTTAAAGAAAAATTTATATAAACATCGCAATCACACTTCATATATATATGGGATACACAAAATTTGAATATAAATACTTTCCTATTTAATCTTTCAAAGCTAAATTATTTTCTATATAAAAGGTTATATTTTACTGTAATTAATGGCTTACGGGAAATATAATATATTCTGTACTGTAATTAAATCATACTTTTATATCGTAGCTCCAATTATACGTACTATAGTATCCAGAACGATTCAAAAATATACGATGTACGAGGCGTGGGACCAAGATAC